CACTTTATGCAATAAATTTTAGCATTGCACGCGTGCTCATCTGAATGCATGTGCGTAATGACCATATCGTTTTGTCTACACTATTTATATATTTTAATATACTTAATATCAAATCAATTAATCCAGAAGTATTAAGAAATACACTCATTTAAGCGTATTTTTAATTTTATTCATTTCACGTGCACGCACGTGCATGCACGTGCATGAGGACTATACATTCCTGTAGGAGTCTATTATGTCTGTCTATGTTCTAAATCCCATCCTGTTTGGTTGAAAAACAAGGGAGTTATAGCCATTTACATTTTTAGCCAATAAGATTGCAGCGCACGTGCATGCGCGTGTTTTCACGATAATTGTTATACATAATATTGTAGTACATCCTAAAGTATATATATATATTAGATTTCATAGCATTTCGTCAAAAAACAGAAAAAATATTGAGATTTTTGTTTCAGCCAATCAGAACGAAGCGCACGTGCACGCACGTGCCTGTATGTGCATGATGACCATACCTTCTTGTAGGAGTCCATTATATGTGTTTATGTTCTAAATCCCATCCTCTTTGGTTGAAAACCAAGGGAGTTATAGCCATTTAAAGTTTAAGCCAATCAGATTGCAGCGCACGTGCATGCGCGTGTTTTCAAGACAATTGTTATACATCACATTGTAGAACATCCTAAAGTATGCCTATATTTTAAATTTCATATCATTTCGTCAAAAAACAGAAAAGATATTGAGATTTTTGTTTCAGCCAATCAGAGCGAAGCTCACGTGCATGCGCGTGAGTTCGTGCTAATTTGACAGTGTCATATTATCTACACTATTAATATATCTTTATAGAACGAGTTTCAAATCATTTCATTAAAAAATGTAAAAGTTATAGCTATATTAAGTATATCGGTCATTTCACTCATATCACGCGCACGCACGTGCATGCGTATGCGCTCAAAATGACCTTCGTTCCGCACACCTACACTACACACCTATTAACCCTAAAAAGGTTTTAGCTTAGTTGGGTGAACAGTTTCTGAGAACACTCGCGGACAAAAAAGTACCGGAGAACAAAGAAGAAAAAAAAGAATAATAATAATAATAACTAGTGCTAATTGTAACGGGAACCGTTACAGATGTTCCCCAAACGCTCCCCAACTTCTTTTTGGTGCCACATTCCCTGTAAACTTCATTAAATAAGACAAACTTTATGCATTTGAGACTTTAACAACGTTTACCCAGAAGAGTACCAAGTTCATTCAAATTTTAGCATTGCACGTGTGCGCATGTGAATGCATGTGCGTAATGATCATATCATCATGTCTACACAATCTATATATTTTAATATGCTAAATATTAAAGTATTTAATCCAAAAGTATTAAAAAAATACGCTCATTCAAGTGTATTTTTGATTGTACTCATTTCACGCGCACGCACGTGCATACATGAGCATGGTGACCATACCTTCTTGTAGAAGTCCATTACATCTATCTATGTTCTAAATCCCACTCCGTTTGGTTGAAAACCAAGGGAGTTATAGCTGTTTAAAGTTTCAGCCAATCAGATTGCAGCGCACGTACACGCACGTGTATGGATGTGCATGGTGACCATACCTTCTTGTAAAAGTCCATTACATCTATCTATGTTCCAAATCCCATCCTGTTTGGTTGAAAACCAAGTGAGTTATAGCTGTTTAAAGTTTCAACCAATCAGATTGCAGCGCACGTGTATGCACGTGTTTTTATGATAATTGTTATACATCAAGTTGTAGGATATCCTAATGCCTGGCTATCTTCAAAATTTCAAAGGATTTCATCAAAAAACAAGAAATATATTGAGACTTTAGTTTCAGCCAATCAGAGCGAAGCGCACGTGCATGCGCGTGAGATCTTGTTAATTTGACCATGTCATATTGTCTATGTTACTGATATATCTTTATATTATGAGTTTCAAAGCTTTTCGTCAAAAATTGAAAAAGTTAAGTTGATATCAATTATATTCATCATTTCTGGTGTTGCACGTGCGCGCTCTTGCAAGCACGTGCGCGCAAAATGACCTTCGTTCCGCAAATCTACATCACATGTCTACTGACCCTAAAAACATTTCACCTTAGTCGGATGTGTAGTTTACAAGATCATTCGCGGACAAAATTTTCCCGAGAAGAAAAATAATAATAACTAGTGCTAATTGTAACGGGAACCGTTACAGATGTTCCCCAAACGCTCCCCAACTCCCTTTTCGTGCAATATTCCTGTAAGTTTCATTAAAATAGGCATAATCTATGCATTTAAGATTTAAACAACATTGCATGAGCGTAATGACTATATCATCTTGTCTACACTATTTTACTCATTGCATGTGCATGATGACCATACCTTCTTGTAGGAGTCCATTATGCCTGTCTATGTTCTTAATCCCATCTTGTTTGGGTGAAAAACAAGGGAGTTATAGCCATTTAAAGTTTAAGCCAATCAGATTGCAGCGCACGTGCATGCGCGTGTTTTCATGACAATTATTATATATCACGTTGTACGACTTCTTAAAGTATGCCTATGTTTTAAATTTCAAAGCATTTTGTCAGAAAACAGAAAAGATATTGAGATTTTTGTTTCAGCCAATCAAAGCAAAGCGCACGTGCACGCACGTGCATGCATGTAAATGTTGACCATACCATCTTGTAGGAGTCCTTTATGTCTTTCTGTGTTCTAAATCCCATCATGTTTGGTTGGAAACCAAGGGAGTAATAGTCATTTAAAGTTTCAGCCAATTAGATTGCAGCGCACGTGCATGCACGTGATTTCACGAAAATTTTTATATATCATATTGTAGGGTATCCTAATGTATGACTATGTTATAAATTTCAAAGCATTTCATCGAAAAACAAAAAAGATATTGAGGTTTTTGTTTCAGCCAATCAGAGCAAAGCGCACGTGCATGCGCGTGAGTTCATGCAAATTTGACCATGTCATCATATCTATACATCTTATATATCCTTATATAATGAGTTTCAAAACATTTCATCAAAAAATATAGAAGTTACATCCATATTAATTATATCAGTCATTTCACTCATTTCACGCGCACGCACGTGCATGCGTATGCGCGCAAAATGACCTTCGTTCCGCACACCTACACTACACACCTATTAACCCTAAAAAGGTTTTAGCTCAGTTGGGTGAACAGTTTCTGAGAACACTCGCGGACAAAAAAAGTACAGGAGAAGAAATAAGAAAAAAAATAATAATAATAATAATAACTAGTGCTAATTGTAACGGGAACCGTTACAGATGTTCCCCAAACGCTCCCCAACTTCCTTTTGGTGCCATATTCCCTGTAAGCCTTATTAAATAAGACAGCATCTGTACATTTTTGACTTTAACAACGTTTTCCCAAAAGGATACCAATTATATTCAAATTTTAACATTGCACGCGTGCCCATGTGAATGCACGTGCATAATGATCATATAATCTTGTCTACACTTTCTATATATTTAAATATACTTTTTATTAAAGCATTTAGTCCAAAAATATTAAAAATCACTCATTCAAGTGTATTTTTAATTTCACTCGTTCCAAATGCACGCACGTGCGTGCACGTGCATGATGACCATACCTTCTTGTTAGAGGCCCTTATATCTATCTATCTATGTTCTAAATCCCATCCTGTTTGGTTGAAAACCAAAGGAATTATAGCCATTTCAAGTTTCAGCCAATAAGATTGCAGCACACGTGCATCCACGTGATTTCAAGAATTTTTTTCTAAATCATATTGTAGAATATCCTAATGCATGACTATGTTTTAAATTTCAAAGCATTTCATCAAAAATCAAAGGAGATATAACCATTTAAAGTTTCAGCCAATCAGATTGCAGCACACGTGCATGCGCGTGATTTCTTGAAATGTTTTGTACATCAAATTGCAGGATGTCCTAATGCATGACTATGTTTTAAATTTCAAAGCATTTCGTCAAAAAACAAAGGAGATATAGCCATTTAAAGTTTCAGCCAATCAGATTGCAGCGCACGTGCATGCACGTGATTTCATGAAATTTTTCCATATTATATTGTAGGATATCCTAATTCATGACAATGTTATAAATTTCAAAGCATTTCGTCAGAAAACAAAAGAGATATTGAGATTTTTGTTTCAGCCAATCAGAGCAAGGCGCACGTGCATGCGCGTGAGTTCGTGCTAATTTGACAGTGTCATATTATTAACACTATTAATATATCCTTATGTAATGAGTTTCAAAGCATTTCATCAAAAAATGTAAAAGTTATAGCTATATTAAGTATATCAGTCAATTCACTCATTTCACGCGCACGCACGTGCAGGCGTATGCGCGCAAAATGACCTTCGTTCCGCACACCTACACTACACACCTATTAACCCTAAAAAGGTTTTAGGTCAGTTGGGAGAACAGTTTCTGAGAACACTCGCGGACAAAAAAGTACCGGAGAACAAATAAGAAAAAAAATAATAATAATAAGAAACAGAGTAAAAACAATATGTTCCCAAACTCCGTTTGGGGAACATAATAATAAGAAACAGAGTAAAAACAATATGTTCCCCAACTTCGTTTGGGGAACATAATAATAATAAGAAACAGAGTAAAAACAATATGTTCCCCAACTTCGTTTGGGGAACATAATAATAATAACTAGATGAGATCTCGTTGCGAGCAACGAGTGGGTCTTCCGTCCAATTCTTGATGAGATGAGATAAGATTTTGATTGCGATTTTCATTCTAAAATAATGATTTACCACAATCTGTAAAAAGACATTGAACATTAAAGACTTTTAAAAATCGGCCTTTTGCCCCTAACGGCCACTTATTTTAGGAATCAGCACTCTTTATTCACATCATCTTAAAACTCTTAAGATTTTGAACATTTTGTGTTCAACAACTGTTTAGAAATTCCTTTTCGTTTTTGAGCTATTAGCAAAAGAAATATTTAGAGACCAACCCTTCAACTCCTTAATGGGGCCGTTAAGGTAGATCGCGGGTTTGCTGACGTCACAATAGGATTCGACGTAAAAAGCTTACTATGTTTGCAGTGTCAAATTACAAACAAGCAAAAAGTATTTTCACCTGTATGCAGTATAAAATTAAACAAACATTAAAGCTTGTATTGTCTGTAAAATATTCATTTATGTGTAATAAAAAATAAAGGAATGATCAATAACTAATCAATACTAAATTAAATTAAGAAGTTTACATAAAGTTGAAATATGGAAAGTTAAAATTTATTCAATTTTCAAAGTAATGCAATATTACTCATCATTCTTTGTACATAGATATAATCTCATTTGATTAATTTTGGCGGAATTTAAAAATACGTCATTTTTTAAAAAAGAAAGTTACGTCACAATCGTGAAACTGTCAGAGAATGAAATATTCGCAATGAAATATAAGGGGAAGTTTGCATCCGAGAAAAAGATAGCGAGTTTGAAGAACTTGGTATTTAAAACTAATTCTCAAACAGAAAAAAAGACGGAAGAAGCCCCCGGATCTTTAACAACCTGCTCAGATGTAAATTCATGGGAGTCAGGGAGGCGAGTTGTTGAACTGAAACTACTAGCGGAAGGTTTGAAAGAGTGTGTTTTTTGCAAAGAACCTCTACATCTTTCTTCGTGTACTGGTGAAAAAAAATATGGACTGGCATCCATACTGTACATTAATTGTCTGAAATGCAGCAATACAAATTCGGTGCCCACGGGAAAGCGTCACAATACAAATGGGAAAGGACCAGCCCGTTGTTTTGACATCAACACTAAACTAGCAGCAGGTTTGTGTATTACTAGTATGTTACTTGATTCAAGTTAATTTCACTTTAAGATTGTTAAAAATTCCCAAAATAATTACCCCCCCTCCTTCCCAGAAATGGAGTGTTGGCGATATTTGGATCACAGCTAATTTTACAGATATCTATATGTGACCTCCTCTAAAATGCCATGATGTTTATATAATGCAAAGACAGATTCAGCGCCGCTGTGTCAGACACATGCCCCCAATTTCATTTCATGCTACTATAAGATACTAGTAATATACATATTAATCATAGGAATACATCTCAAAATCAGTATTACACATACTATTAGTATCGTGTTGAAATGCATGTCAGAATTTATAATACATGTACATGTGTTTAGAAATTTGATATTTATAATAGCAGCACTATTGCTGATGTGATTAATCATATAATAATTTTCATCAAGAGATACCCTCATAAATATAGCTTTTAAGTGAGATTGTTTTTAACTACGTGAAGCAATCGACGAATCCCCCCCCTACCTCCCCCCCCCCCCCCACACACAAAGAAAACATGAAGTTCACTTCAGTATATTATCATCTATATCCCCAACCCTTTTATTCCTGATATCGAAAAGGGATTCGCCTTAGGTTTTATTTTATAGCGCAGATGTGGAAAGAATTGGGTTCAAGGCAAGAGTTGCACCTTCTTGAGCTGACATTTCTAGATTCGCTTGATTTAGTCAGAGGCCACGCGTGTCTTAGCTGAAAAACAAACATAATGACAACCTACTTATAAAATTTTTACAAAATTTCTCAATCGATTATGAAGGAGTTTAATTCTTTTTAAATACTAGTTTGGCTTTGATTCTATTGTTCTTTATAAGATTGGCCACGAGTTCTAAAAACGTACATGCCAAAGGCGGAACCAGACCTCCCCCCACCCAACCCCCACCCGTTTGATTTTTTTGTATGTAAAACTTATATGTTCGTTATCCTAAAAGAAATGAAAATATTTCTTATTTCTAAAAGTTTGTCAGCCTCCGGACCCCAACCTGGGCCTTGCCCTAGAACCCCTGCAGGCTTCAGTTCAGCCCCAGAGCAGATCATTTGCATAAACTAATAATGAGGTTGGAAAATTAAAATTCAATTAAGGTTGTTTTTTTTTAATTATAGCTATGATTAACGCTGGTATAGGTGAACAACAGGTCAATAATATATTGGCAGAACTCAATCTCCCTACGATTCATCACAAGACACTAAAAGAACGAGAGAGGGAGGTCGGCCATATCATAGAGGACATAGCAGAACAATCTTGTAATTCTGCCATACAAGCCGAGATTTTGTGTTCAGAGAGGTATAGAAAAAAATTAAATTGTATAGATATACATGTATATTCAGACAATATAGTATTTGGTTTGATATATATGCAAAACTTTCGTCTACGTTCGATTAATGAATAAACATATTCAAGAGAATGTCGTTTATGGATAGGTTATAAAAAAAATTGTTTTAAAATTTTGATATAGTGGCGACGCTTCAAATCCTTCGGATGTTGATATTGGTGTTTCAAGTGACGGCGGATGGCAAAAGAGGGGAACTGGTCGTAATTACAATAGCTTGTCAGGTATATACACTCTCCTTATAACCATTTTATTACCGATTCGATATTTACAAGTACATGGGTTTGCTTTTTTTTTTTACAAAATTTTACATAATTTATTTGCGAAAACAAAGAGAGATAACTCTAAAATTTTGATGAAACCGGTATCACGGAAAATACCCCCCCCCCTTTTTTTAAAAAAAAAATAAAACAAAAAACAAAAACAAACAAACAATAAAAATTGCATTTTATCAATAAAATGTTTAGTTTTACATGATTTAAACGTCGCCAAGCTAAGATTAGAACAATTTGGTCGGACGGAAATTTTCCTGTGTAAAGTATTTATATATATATGTATATATGTAGACCTATATAAGTATATTTTTATTCAGCATCTTAATAGTTCATCAATAATCAATTTCAGGACATGTGACTGTTATGGGTAAGAACACCAAGAAGTGCCTTTCTTACGGCATCGCATGCAAGACTTGCAGAAAATGCAGGAATCGGAAATCTTCTTCACGCAAAAACAGTTCAAAAACAACCCATCGCTGCAGAAGAAATTGGAGCGGTTCTGCTAAGGGCATGGAACCCTTCCTGACTGTCCAATGCTTAAAGTCTCTGAAGGAAAAGGGTTTAGGTGTAAAAACGCTGATCATGGATGACGACACCACCACTTTTGTGAGAGCCAAAAAAGCCATATCAGACCAGCTGGAAAAATGCAGCGACAAAAGTCATATTGTGCGCAATTTTAACAACTCCCTCCATAAAGTCAAAGATGGCCACAAGAACTTCTCCACAGCTAACATTAATTATTTCAAAAAATGCTTTAGCTACGCCATTGAGCAAAACAAAGAAAATGTTGAGGGAATTCGCCAGAATTTATTAGCCACCGTTCCTCATGCTTTTGGGGATCATAGCGGATGTAATGAGGTCTGGTGTGGATATATCAAAAGTCCCGACACGTACCAACACAAGAGCTTTCCATCAGGCAAAAGTTTACAGGGAGATAAACTAAAGGAAACCTTGCTAGAATTATTCACTAAACACGCAGAAAATGCGGAAAAACTAGCTAACCTCGGCTCATCTAATGCGAATGAAAACTTGAACCAAATAATAGCTAAAAAGGCACCAAAGTCGCAGCATTATTCTGGGTCGGATAGCCTCTCCTTCCGGGTCGCTGCAGCCATTTCTCAGAAGAATGAAGGACACGGATTTATTGTAGAGGTAATAATGACATATGTAATTAAAAAATTGACAATTTAAACTTACTGGTATTTTTTATACATATTCTTGTAATGATTTAAAATGTATTTTTCATACATTGATGTTAGGTAAACAAGGCTTGTTGCCTGTCACCTGGAAAACAGACAGGAGTAAGAGCGGGGTACCTGGACAGAAAGAGGACAAGACAACAGGCCCGACAAAGCTCACGACAGGCAAAGCTGGATCGACTGCGTCTCAAGGAAGAAAGACAGTCGTCATTGGCATCGGCGGAATTACATGAAGGCACAACATATGAGTCGGGTATAGACTATGCAGTCCCCGCAGACAGACAGGAGGAACTGGTCATGGATATACCACTTCCCAGTACACGGCAGCTCAGCAGACCTGTAGACGCACCAGCCTCACCTGACACAATTATTGTGGCTGATCTAGAGACTACTGGATTTTGTAAGCAATAAATATTCATAGTATTAAAGTTGACTTTGGGTAAATATAATGTGCATATAATATCAATGCTTTGATCATTCGTTTAAACAATAGCTGTCAATGCATTTATCAAGATGATTTTAATTTTACAATAAATATTCCTTTTAGCTAACAGTAGCAGAATCATTCAGATTGCGGCAGCACCACTTCATTCAGAGGACAGGTTCAACAGATTTGTACAACCCGCAAACGGTTTTATTCCACCAGCAATAGTAAAACTAACTGGGATAGAAATGCACGGAATGCAGATGTATTACCAGCTAAACCCGGTCCCATCTTGTGGAGAAAGGCAGGCCATAGCCGAGTTTGCTGAGTGGCTTAGCAGCTTCCCATCCCCCTTAATTGTGGCACATAATGCACAATTTGATGCGCGTATCTTAGTGTCCTGCTTTACCAGACATGGTCTGACTGATATGTTAAAAAGTGTCGTTGGTTTCTCGGACACAGTGAAATTTTTCAAGAAAGTACACCCAAATCAACCATCATATAAACTTCAAGACTTGGCTAAATCGTTAGCTCCAGAATTTGATTCTGCAAATGCACATAATGCTGAAAATGATGTTTATGCGTTGAAAATCTTGCTGAAAAACACTCCAAAAGCGGAGGAGTCACTCTCTGAGTCAATCTTCTCTACCGATTATGTCATCGCGAACAACGAAAAGCTATCAAATAAGAACAAAAACATAGGAAGTTTTCATGAAATGATAACTGCAAAGGTGCTTACAAAGGGGCAAAGTTCTACTTTGGCAGGTAATGGCTTTCAGGCGAATCATTTGAAATTGGCGCTTCAGAGAGGCGGAAGAGATGGACTCTACGAAGTGTTGAAGGGAAAACTAAAGTCTGTAAATACAGTTATAGACAAAATCATTTCATTTTATGAAGTATGATTGTCTACATGTACGTTTCTTCAATAATACAAGTTGAGATTCATACACTGTAAATAATTTTTCATTCGTGATGAGAACTTTATTGTGCAGATGATGTGCTCGCGAAAATTAATTTATTGAACTACAGTATATTTTTATTTTATTAATTGTAACATTTTGATTTAAAACCATGGCACATTTAACTTAAGATAACACATATGTAAAAAAGGTTTACAAATGCTCTCAAATCCAATAAGAAGTTTTTGTGCTCATATCTTTGAAGATTTGTTCTAACTTTTCAGCACTGCTTGATTTTGTCAAGAAAACAAATACCATGACTCTGTTCCATTGAAAAAGTGTGACAATTTAGGTTAATTGATTATGACAATGTCAATCGATTAAAAATTGAAAATACGGATTATACATGTTTTTTTGAGTGAATTCTTGATTACAATGTTATTCTGAGACGTACAAAAATAATGACGTCGTAATAACGTTATATAACGTCTTAATGAAATTATATACGTTTGCTACAAATTTGTAAAACTTTAAAGTTTTTTTGAGAGAAAATGAGCGAGAACACATATTAATTTTTTTTGATAGATCGATTCTAAATTTATCTCACATTCATTGTGTTGAGTAATATAAAATTCGTCTGCGCCGTTTTCATACTATGAGCATGGTTTTAAAATGCGTTTACGGCAAGAAAGGCGCATTTTGCTATATATTTCATTGTAATAGCGTCACCTGTTCTCATCAACATTAGTGCCTTTGAAATACGATAACAATATAACCAAGCGCACGAATCTCAAAAAACTTTCAGAAAGAAAAATTCGAAACGAGAGGATTCAGCAGACAAATTTTCAGAGTATGTTTTCAGGCAGACAGTAAACCCGCGATCTACCTTAAGCAAAAAATGAAAGGTAGCATTTTGTTCAAAACATTATTTTGAACATCTTTTGTTCAACATTGCTTATCAAAATATTTCTCCATTTTGAGATATTAAGCATCAAAGATTTAGCATTCTGGCCCCTTGTGGCCCCTAATTATGAACCATACGACATAAAAATCATAATATTTAGATGTAGATGGTTGAGATGAACATCTTTGCTTCAGTGATGTATTACAAAATATGAACTGATAAAGAATTATGGATTGAAGACTTTTGGCCCCTCTTGGCCCCTAATTTGAGTGCCCAGCCCCTTTTTCGGGATCTCATTTAAAG